AAGTCTTTGCTGTTCTTACTCAGCCTCCCTGTAGCTGCCAGGAGTCTTGTAAAACAGTCTTAATCCAGTGTTTTATGTGCTCGCTGGCAAAAGAGTGAGTGAGTCTGCTATAGGGAAAGGACCTCTTGGAACTAGGTTCCAGCCTAATTTTTTCTCTCTCCCTTTTCTTCTCCAATCCTTGATGTAGCAGGTGAGTCACCAGTGACAGAGTCTTAATTGTGTGTGATGATGAATGGGATGCCCTACAGGTAATTGCTTGGTCTTTGGTGCCTTCACATCCATTCATTAGAGAGGATAAGGGTGGGGAGAAAGCTGGTGGACTCTGATGTTGCTGGTGAATGCTGTGGCCTGGCTCTGAGGTGTATGACTAGAACAGCCATGCTAATTAACTCAAATTACCATCTGCTTCAGAAGAGGGGGTAGGCTTTAGCCGTTCTTCCCCTGTAGACCTAGCTGTGAAAATGCCCGACTGCTACCTTTCAGTGCAAGCCTCGGGCTGTGCTCTCTGTCTGCCTCCTGCATTTTTTTTTTTTCCCCCTTTTGTCTCCTTTGTGTTCCTGGGTTTTTGCCCTGGTTGCTTGTGCACCTCACCTCGTTGCAGCGAGTGCCTGCCCTGCGGGCTGCAGGCTGCTGCCGAAGGAAGAGGAGGTGGGGCTGGTGGGGCTGCGGGAAGGTGTCTTAACTTGACTGTGCGGAGAAGCACAACCACAGGGAGCTGTGCTGCTGTGAAATGCTGGAGAAACAGCTGGTCCCGGGTGGGGAAGCAGGAGGTTTGCATTAGCTCAGGCTTGCACTAAAGCTGTGCAAGCTGTGCTCCTTACACCCTGCTTCCTCGGCTCACCTGAGGTGCCACGTTCGCAGGTGGCCCCAGACTGGGCTCTTTGAAGGGGGCTGCCTCGTGTGGCACCACCTGCGCGTGGTGGAGCAGATGTCTCTGTGTCAATACCGGGATTCCTGCAAGATCAGAGAGGAGGAAAGCTGCCTGTCACAGCTACCCTTCCTTGCCATCTGAAGCTCCCTCTGTTTGCTGGTTGACTGCCATCTCTCTCCAGAAAAGAGCTCGTGCCGACGGCGCTGTGTACAGACTTCTTCTCGGGCTGAAATAGGCTGCGCAAATGGCTTTGAAGGCATTGCTTTCGCAGCCTCTCTTCTTACCCCTGCCCAGCAGCTTGGACTTGGACTGCGCGGGCAGCCATAGCATATAAGTTATGCTTGTCCCGCATATAAGTTATTGCTTGTCCTTTGGTTGCTGTGGCATTGCTTAGCCCTGGCCCAAGGGGAACTGACTCCCTTCACGCTGGAAGACAAATGAGTGTGAGAGCACGTGGGTACGATGTCTGTAGCGAACCTCTCCGTGTCTGGGGGCAGCTGAGGCATGTGCAGCTTCCGAAGAGGAGCCGTCATGGTGGTGTGTGTTTATACCTGGGCTGGTTTTTGATCTCAGGTATGCAGGAGAACAGGGTTCGCCTCAGTAATATGCAGTGACTGCTGTTGGGATCACAGGACCTGCTGGGCTGGGTGGGAGGTGAGACCCATCAAGTCCAGAGTCCTTCTCCAAGGCAGGCAAATATTACACCTTCAGGAGAAGGTGTGAGAAGTAGGAGGATCTGAGAATGCAAGATTCTCCTAAACTTCCTTTTTAACCTTCAGTTGCACCTGTAGAGTACATAACACTAAATTCATTCCCTTTTGCTGCTTGACAGGTGAATTTTGTGCTGAGCAGGAGTGTCACGCCCCAGCCTGCTTGCTCCTGTGGCGGTGGGAATGGTCCCGATCCCTTGTCCCAGCACCTGTAGGTGTCTATGCCGAGTTGTGACAGGGACAGCGGGAGTTCAGCTCAAGATCGTTGTGGACCTTGATCAGGACTGAGATAGCACTGCGTTCACAGCCCTGAAATTCTGGAATTAGGGCTTCAAAAACTTACAAGATTGATTAAAGGTCATGAGACTTGCATTTCCCCCTAGCCTCCAATGTGTTTTTACCCTCTTATTTGAACTTTGCAGTGTCACATCTTTGTACGTGTCTTCCGTAGTCACTGGGTTAATGGGATGGAGATACTTGGCAAAGAGTAAGAGTCTGTCCGAATGGCCTCAAAGAAGCCCATAGGAGAACACGATGCACTTGAAGAGCTTTGCGGGGCAGAGGCCAGTGAGCTGCAGTTGCAGATGACTATAAAAATGGTTCGTTCTGGAGTGGGATAATGTCTGCTCTGTGCTTTCCTCCTCAACTGTAACAAGTTCCCCACCACAACCCCTATGTCAAGCACAGAAGCTGTAGTGTGAACAGCTGTCTGCCTCCCTGCCATCCCCGGTGTCCCCCAAGGTCTGGAAAGACCTGTCTGCCCACGTGCCTGTGAGCATCCTTTCTCTGTCCCTTGCATTCCCTTCAGAATTGCACTCTTAAAGTACGTACGTGCGTGCCTGTTTCGGAGAGGGGATCAAGAGCCCCCTTATCTCTGAGCCACCACCTCCCTGACTGCTTCGGTGCTTGGCACGGTGTGCTGAAGTGCTCTTTGGGCGGTGAAGACAGCTGGAGAATGCAGGTGACTGGGCACTCAGGCTGCGGGAGGAGGGGAGATGCTGGCAGAGAGCGTGATAAAGCACGCTCTGAGCACGCCGGGCCAGGGATGCCTGTGGTCACAGTAATACCCATGCACTACAGCAGCCACCCTTGCTCCAAGCTGAAACCTCAGGCAGCATTCTGATGAGCTGTTCCTATTACATGCAACTCGCAGACTCGGGTCTGGGTCACGTTTGTCCTGCAACAGGACTGCAGCAGCAGCGGGAGGATTTCTACCCTATCGGGAGTGGATGGGGACATGTCTCCGGTGTCCCATGTGCACTAAAGATTCATTTTAGGGCCGCTTCTTCCCTCCTGTGCGGATGTTTCTTTTGGGCAGTTTGAGCGGAGAGCGTTGGCTTGCAGTGGTGTGCACATCTCGCCTTTTTTGGGCAGGGGGATGAGCCAGCACTGAGGTCCAGGCACTGCTCTAGAACCGCTGGCAGCGGGAGGAGGGAGAGCAGGGCTAACTCTTGTGGCCAGGACTTATTTTTCTTCCTGAAGTTTGGATGAGTAAAGGGAAATGGGCTCCAAAATCCTCCGTGTATTTTAGCAAATCTAGTCTGCTAACGCAAAGGTTTTCCTTAGTCATTTATGGGAACATAAGTGCCTTTGACATTTCTACATGGAGTGTTATCTGCTCTGCCTTTCATCTTCCCGAGGTACCAGTGCCTTGTCAGAGCCAGAAGATTCCCTTCTTTCATTCACCCATCCCACCTGCCTCCTCCTGCCCCTGTTTTAAGGCTCCTGTGCCCTGTTCAGAGCCTCCCCCGTGGATGGACAGTGCTCTCTTTAGCTGTGCACCCTTCCCTGGTTGGTGGCTTCCACCCATTTAATGGCCCCTTCAAAGGCTTTTTTTTATTTGGGAGTGTTTTCTTCTCCCTTGATACATTTCACTGCTGAGATTTTGTTGTGAGTCAGGATGTCTCTGGGAGAACTGTACCAGCTGGAGTCTGTCACCTTGAATGATGCTGCCTGGGAGAAGAAGGGGGATTTCTCTGACAAGGCTGAGACTTATGTGCTGCACTCAACAGGGCTTCAGTCATGTCCCTGACCCTGTGGCCGGTGTCTGCAGATGATGGGGTCACAGCTCCTGTGCATGGGAAGGGTCAGTGGCGAGTGAGTTGGATCTCATTTCTGTCCAAGCGTCTAGTCCAGCAGTGGATCTCCAGCTATGAATTTGAATTCTTTATTAGTAATGGGCAGGAATGGGTCAGTTCTCAAAATTTTTTTTAATAAATTATTCTCCTGGTTGAGTGTCTGCCAGCCTCCCCTGGCTAAGTGCAGTGTCCCTTGTTGGAGAACAGCGTTCCCTGCCATAGCCAGTCATGCGGCAACCGAAATGACTGTTGTGGGCATAAAGGCTAGAACAGTATCAGAGGGGAACTGTTGATTAGCTCATCCTCTGCCTTACTGGTTACGTACCAGGAGATGCTTCTCCTTCTGCCAGGGAAACTCTTGGGCACCTTTCCTGGTCTGAGTTGCTGTACTGCAGAGGCTGCCGGGTTTGCTCACCCCTTCTCCCACCCCACCTCTGCCCCTGCCTGGCCGCTGCTGCTCCTCTGTCCCATGGGAGCCCCCACCCTGCTGGTCCTGCTGGGCTCTGGACGTGGTCTGTGCCTGCTGGTGGCCCTCACGTGTTTGCTGAGAAGGGGCAGCTTATCTTGAGCCATTGTTCTTGCCCGAACAAAGGAAAGGGGCATGGTTACCCTCCGCCAGCCCCGGGATCCTTTGTGCCAGGGGCTTGCTGGGTGTTTGCGCTTGGGGTGGGGTGAGCTGTCCTGGGGTTGGTGATGAGAGGAGAGGAGGGAGAGGGCGGTTTTGGTTCATGTGTCCCTGTGGGTAGAGTGAGCCTTCAGGGAGGTGAGTCAAGGCGGCTCGTCCTAGGGTTTGGTGCAGGGCAGCTCTTCATCGGGCCGCTTGGAGCCTCTAACAGCAGCGGCTGGGCTGGCGGCGCGCTTGGCTTTGGCTTGGCCTGGAGCCTGCTGCCAGGGGAGGAGAGGTGGGAAGAGGAACGTGAATCCTGTGTCTCGGCACCGAAGGCAGTGTGTCCCGTGCAAAGAGGAGATGCGTGCGGGGGGACGAGGTATCTGTCCCTTGCTGGGGAGCCGGTGTGGCTGAGGGGCCACTGGCGACACGAGACCTGTTCCCCCTTTGCTCCCCGTGAGGCTGCGTGGGGAAGGGGCCAGGAGCGCCACGTACCTGGGATGGAGAGTTGGGTGCAGCTTTGGCAGAAGACTAGTACGTGCTTTAGTCTTTGCCCACCCATTTTGTGCTTTTAGAGGGATGGCTAATGAAATTAGCTCTGCTGGAAGGCTTTGCCAGCCTGCACTGCTCCTGTGCCTCTTGTGACAACATGATAAAAATGAACCGGGCCAGAAGGTGCCGATTGTCTGTGGCTGTGAAATGATCTCACGTGCTCTTTCTCCCTCTTGTTCAAGGTGAGAGTCTGGCGTTACCTGAAAGGCAAAGACATCGTCACTCATGAGATCCTCTTGGATGGCGGGAACAAGGTGGTTATCGGTGGCTTCGGGGACCCATTAATCTGCGACAACCAAGTCTCGACTGGGGACACACGGATTTTCTTCGTCAACCCAGCCCCGCAGTACATGTGGCCAGCACACCGCAATGAGCTGATGCTGAACTCCAGCCTCATGCGGATAACGCTGCGCAACCTGGAGGAGGTGGAGCACTGCGTGGAAGGTGAGGCTGGAGCATGGGTGCCTGGCTTTCCCAGGATGGGTGCTCTGAGCGTGCAGGCTCGGTTGGTCACCTTGTGCTCTTAGCTTGTAAATGATTGATCAGTAAACGATCCCGCTGGTGATGAGGCGGATCAATCCTGCTGTTCTGCATGGGTCTGCGGTAGAGTCATACTGCTCTGTGGACTCACTTGTCACGGGGACAGTGCCTGGCATCGACCTTGTTGTCAAAGGCAGTGGTTGCAACCAAGGTACAGCCAAGCAAAGTTATTTTATGTTATTTTTGCTCTGGATTTGATGCAGGTTCTCAGTCCCCTCTGTAATGAGTCCAATGTGGTTGGGAGCATCCCCACTGCAAGTCCTGTCCTAACACAAGTGTGTGGCAGGCACTTACCAGGGAATTTAGACTTTTCACACCTGAATTAGATTTTCTTGTAGGTTCAGAGCTAATAACTTAATGGGTTAATCCTGTGGTGAAGGTGTGGAGATGTGCCTCTCTGGAGAGAATTGATCTTTCTTCTAGCTGTTGCCCAATCACCTTGAAAACAGACTTCTGTAATAACCCATTTGCGGGTTTCTCTTCCCCCTTTGTGCTTGCCCTGTGTTCCAGCCAGAGCTTTAAGCTCATGGGGAAATGTGGTGCCCCAAAAGCCCTTTGCTGGGGTCTGAGTAAGTCCTGAGAGCTGATGAGTAAACAAGGGAAGGAATGCAGGAATTCTGCACAGACAACAAATAAACATGCGGACTGGCTCCCTCCTCCCCTTGGATGTGCAGAGGAGAGGCCATAACCCCTTTTTCCAGCTGTGAATGCTGACAGAGGTAAATGACCGAACTCTCGGTCTGGGAGGCTGGGAGGGAGCTGGTTCAGCACAGTGGCTCACAAGAGGCACCCGTCTCGAGTGGCTTTTGCAAGAGGGAGGGACACTGGAGGTTTTCTGCCTATGTGTATATATATATATATATATATGTATCCTGCATTGCACTTGAAAGGTGTGTGTCCTGCTCCATCCTTGCACCTAGTGGAGAGGGAGGGAGGAGAAAGTGTGTGTGTGGTGGGTTTTGTTAAACCTGAGCAAACACTTGGAAGAATTCTGGCTTCACCTAGTTTGCTGTGTTCTTTGGCACGCTCATTTTGCACACACTGGATGTGAGCTGGGGTGGCTGAGCTAGGTGGTTCCCACTTGGGGTGAAGGATGTTGTCCCTTAAGGCCCTTGAGAGATGATGAGAGATCTAGTTTTCCTCCTAATACTATAGATTCAATGTAGAATTTATCATCGGGACCCATTCCGGCTTTTGGCTTTGGTGGGGGAAAATTCAAAATTGCGTTGCATTGGTGTAATGCTCGTTACAGCCCCTGCTGCGTTTGGGGGAGCTGGGACCTGCTGCAGGCAGGGACACATCCTACCCATGGACAGCTTTTCTTGCAGAGGCCTGGGGTGGTGATGGGACTGTCGTACCCGGTGTGCTATACCTTGCAGCTATACCGGTGTCCTTGGCCCAGGAGGGGAGAGGTGTGAAGTGCCTGTGTGCACCAAGCTGTAGGTGCACGTGCCTGTCTATAAGCGTGTCCTCTGAAGCGGTACCATAGGAAGGATTTGTTTGGTGTTGCTCCCGTGCTGTTGTGCAAGGGACTTGAGGGTGCCAAAGCTGGGCATGTCTAAACTCTCTCTTTACTGTGTGCTTGAATTGCAGGTCCATACAGTTATAGGCGGGTTTATCTTTCCTCCCTGTTACGTTAACCTTTCCTGATGCCAGGTAGCCGATGATTCTTTCTGGGACTCCCCTCTTCTCTGAAGATCTCTTGCTGCATGGCTTGTTTCCTTTAACTCATTCGGCCCCTCTTCCTGCCGGCATGCAGAGACAGGGTCAGCCTGGCTGGTGTGGGGGCTGGAAACCAGCCTGCAGACAGCTCGCCCTGTGCGGTGGACCCGACTTCTCCAAACTGGTGGAGACCTGTCCAGACTGTGTTGCCTGAGAAATGACAAAAACAAGGCAACCTTGAGTTACTAATATCTTGGGTAGGTCAGAAAGTCTTGCTTGAGGGCGAGGCAGTAATTCGTATTTTGGCAGCTGTTTCACTTGCCTCGATAAATCCGCCTGCCTTGTCATATCCAGTGGACTTGCTTTTCTAATTCCCGCATCTTGGAAGCCTGGTGATTGCGCGAGTATCCTTTATGCTGGGTGCTAGCAGGTTTGCTGTAGAGAGCATGCAACAAATTGACTCTCAAACCCGTGGCTTCCCTTGAGGTCTACCCAAAGCTCAGACCTCTCCTGAGGTCTGTGAAAGTCCCTTTCAGCTCGCCCAGCGCAGCTGCCCTGCTCTCTTCTGGGAGGTGATGCAAAACCAGCCATGAGAACCTGCTCCTGCCACCCTGGGAACCATTTCTGAGCTCCAAGTCTGAGAGTTTAGCTCCAGGACTTGTTTCCCATCAGCTCCTCACAGGAGGGTTCAAAGCAAAGCTGCCCAGAACACTGCTCTTTGCTGCACTTTGAGTTTAAAAACAAACCTTTGAGTGCTTTTGTGGAAAGAATTGGAAGAATGGTGGCAGCTGAGTGGAAAAACATGCATGTTTTGAGTATCTTCATCTCCTGTTGCTCCAGCCTGGAAAAATCCTAGACATCAAAATCTTTCCTGTCTAAGAGGGAAGTTCAAACCAGGGCATCTCTGTGAAACAGCTCAGGTTAGACTAACAGTGTGTTTTGATTACACTTAATTGTCAAAATGCTTTGAGCAGCTGTAGTCAAAATGCAAGACTTCAGCTTAACTCTGCAAACTGGCTCAGCACTGAGGGTACCTGGAGGGAAGTTTTTTGGTGCTAAATGGCAGAGGAGCATCTCTGGGGCTTGTGCAAGAGGCTGGGACACAGGCTCGGACCGGGTCCCTGGGTGAAGGAGGGTGTTTGCTCTGGCCCCTCTGGGGGGGATGCATGGAAAGGGGCCAGCCTGAGCGGCACACAGTGCTGCATAGTACCAGCAGTGGCTTTCCCCTTGTTCTTAAAGACATCTGGATGAGGCTTCCTGGGGAAAGAATTAGCCTGACAAGCCACAGCCTTGCTGTATTTGTGCCTTGAATGCTGGTTCTGCATGGAGAGGGCTGGAGTCAGTGTGCAGGTGTTAGAGCTTCCCAAGGCACACGACCAGCAGGCTCCGTGCTAGGTGCAGGGCTTTCCTCTCCTTGCTCTCCCCTGACACCACCATCAAGCACGCTCTTCTGGAGTTCAACAGCTGACTAATCCCCGAGAGATCTTTCCCCTGTGTGTGTGTGTCTCATATTTCACTTTGATCACAACTGCACTTGAAGAAAATCAAGATTTTATTTTTTGTGTATGGTGTGGGAGGGGCTGTGTGTTGACTCCATACTGAGCTGTCTGGGTGGAAGGAAGTTCAGATTAAACCTTTGTTAGGGCCTTGGTTAATGAGAACCCAGAGCTCCTTTTAAATAGTGCCTTGCTTGTGGCATGATTTGCATTAATGCTGGTGCAGTTGCCCCAGCTGAGACTGCTTTGCTGGCTTCGGAGATGTGCGTGGACTTTGAACCTCCTGGGAAAAGCCATATACGTTGGCTTTATAAATACAGTGCATAGTGAAGCCTGGTAGCATTGGGTGCAGTAAGCACATGCCGTTGTGTGAGAAGGTTACAACTGGTGGCTTGGGACCCTCGTCCCAGAGCAGCATGTCCAACAGACCTTCAAGGAACTCTTGCTTTAACTAGTGCAGTGTCACCTCAGCTTCTCAGGTGATGCAGAGGGGGTTGTTAAGCCTTTTGGTAAGGACAGATCTGCCTGTCTTGGGGACAGCGCATGGGCGGTACTCTGCCTCCCCGATGGGAATTATTCTAGCAGTGAGAGCAAGGCTGAGAACTGACCCTCTCTGTGCACATGCAGCAGCCATCCCAAACCCTTTCTGGACTACCCGCTAGCATCCCAGGCTGCTGACAGCGGTTGTGGCCACCGCTGCTCTTGTGCTTCCACGGCGTTTGGTGGCTTCTCAGCCGCCTCCTCCAGCCCTGCTCCCTCGGGGTAGGCAGCGAGGCGAGTGTGTGTTGTGCTGGCGTGGTCACCCTTGGGTGCTGTGTGTCACCCTGCCTAGGAACTGGAGGGGGCTGACGTGGTGTCTCGGGGCGCTGCCATGAGGCTAGCGTGAAGGCTTTTGAAGCTCTTTTCCATATAGATGCCCATAATAAAGCTAGCTACTCTGGCTTGCGTTCAACGCACGGTGTGCCGCAGATGCTCCATATGTTTAAAGTTGTCACTTAGCTCTTACTGAAATTCTGATTCTAGCCAGTCCAGAACTCTCCTCTGACTTTTCATCTCTGTGGCAACCCTATTAATTACTCCTGTGGAAGAATTGCATCCAATCCTGCAGCCTCAGTTCTCCCATGTGTTTAGCCGGGGAGGTAA